CAACCAGGGAAACTTAACACTGACCAGCAGCATATCAGCTGGGGTCTGAGAGCCAGGGTTATATTCGGCTTCAGGATACAGAATGGCGCTGAGTCACTAGCCAGCCCAGCCAGGTCCATGACAGTTGGGTGTGGTCCTGTTGTAGGCAGAGGCCTGGACCAGAAGGCACTTCAGCAATATTGTCCTGGAGCAGGAGCTGGGAACTGGGAGCTGGGAGGCCTGCAGTGTGGGCCCAGGAATCCAGGTCCTGACATGCCCCATACTAACACCCTGAACAAGGGTCAACCCAGGTGAGGAGGGGCTGACCTCCCAGCACACGGAGGACACACACCTCACTGAACCCTTCTGCCCAGGGAGTTCCATGAGGATGACCTCAGCCATGGAAATGTTATTTGGAAACCTTGAGGTGAATGGGATGCTAAGGAGGTGATGACAGCTCATTCACACAGGCTGTCTCCATCTGGGCAAGCTAGCCTTGAGCTGTGAGACAAAGAAATATGAGACAAGCTGTCAAGTCCTTGTCATGCCATCAATGCTGTGTTCCCAAAGGACAGAGGGACAGGTGGGTGGAGCTGCTCAGACTGGAAGGCAGGGTCCAGGGGTGTAGTGTAGCCTCAGACCCTCCACGGCCACAGAAGACTTTTCAGAGGCAGGTGGATGAGGCTCAAGCACAGGGTGAGAAAACTCAGATTCCACAGACTCAGATGCAGTCAGTGGGCTCTTGGTGCTCCTGTAGCAGCCACATGTCCAGTGCAAGATGAAGTTAGTGATTTAGGCTAATTGTAGCTGACACTGCTGGATGCTTTCTTGGATTCACAGAAGAGTAGTTGGGTGCTTGCACAAAATTGATGGTTTAACAAAGTGGGCAAATAAGATCTATTTGTCAGTCTAAAGCATGTATATTTATCTCTCTAAATACTTAGTCCTTCTGATATGGCAGTATTTTCTAAGAGTTGGTTCACATAGTCTGTGGTGACTTGAGTATTATTTCCAGCCTGAACACACCAAGTGCTGCAGAGTAGAGAATCACTCCCGGGGTTCGCTTGTTTTTAGTTTTACTTAACCTGATGAATTAGGTCAGGATGGGATCATCGGACAATCATGGCTGTCTCCAAGGCCACCTTTTCCACAATCGAATCCCTGTTTTTTCTATAGAGCTCCATAAAATGAAAAGTTCATAACCACCCTTCTTATATATGCGTGTGACACATAAAAGGAGCAAGCCCTGCACGTGTGATCAAAGGGGCTTGGAAAGGGGCAGCAGAAGCACAACCATAGGAAACACTGACACGCCTCTTCTTAAAAGCCACCTGTCTGGAGGCCCAGGTTTCCCTTAGTTAGTCATTTGCCACCTGGAACATGGGACTCAGGCTGTCTCCACCCTGCTGTGCTCCCTGCCTGCTCCCCTCCTCTCAGCAGAACCCTTGGAAAACCTTGTCTCCCCACCCCCACTGGGAGCAAACAGGGGTTCAGGACTTTCCACACCTGCTCCACCTTCTTACACCTTAGTACTCCCCCAGCCAGGTCCTCCCAGAAGGGAAGATTGTTCAGACACACAGACAGACCCACTCTTGTTAGGAAAACATGCTATGCTCAAGATCCAGAACATCTCTCATTTTATATCTCAAGGCTGAAGCTTTATCTTCAGACTGCATTGTGTTACATATCTTTGGAAAGTCAGTTTTCTTGTTGGGTGTTTTGTCATAACTTTCACGAAAATCCTGCAAATATTTTTCTTTGTTTATTCCAATATTCGTTTGGAAAAAAATGGAAAATGTTGCCTGTTAAAGGCTTGTTAGATGCCGAGCCCAGGCTTGTTTTCCCCTCACTCCTTGTCCACTACGCAGGTGCCCCGGCACCAGACCTCTGTGGAGCAGTGACACAGCAAGTTGATGAAGGTGAAGCCTGGTGTTAAAAGTTCAACATGTTATCTGGATCCAAGACACCCTGTGGAAAGGAGGAGAGGACATTGTCTTGGTTGAGAGTGGGACTGAGAAGCACCCAAGGCTGCATGTCAGGAAACAGGGGTGGTGGCAGGAGTTACCTGAACACCAGGCTAAGAAGCCACATTGCTGGATGGGAGCTGGGCCTCGGATCATTCATTCAACACTGAGGAGGCAGAAAGGCAGTGCCGCGGCAGAAGGTTTAAAGAATGGAGAACCTCAGGGAGAGGTGTCCTCCAGTTGTAACAAGGTGTAAGTGATACCAGGCATATTCCCACCCAGCCCCAGGCCTGGGAGGGGATACCCCGAGCCCCATGGAGGAACAGGGAAGAGCTGCCAGTCATCACCTGTCAGAACCAGGTGGGTGGGAGGTCAGACAGGGACTCTCATGCCCAGGCCCTGTCTCACAGTCGGGGGCAGAGCCCAAGGCCTGATGAAAGGGCCCTGGCCACAGTGTCTCCACCACTCCCCTCTGCCAAGCTGAAGGACCTGTGCCTGCACCTGGTGAGTGTCCTGGGAACGGGAGCGGGCTGCTGCTGAGGGAGCTCAGGCCAGGGCAGGGGCAGCTGGGCAGGGCTGGGGTGGGAGGTCCATGTGTCAGAGGAGGAGGCCAGGGAGTCTGAGGGCCAGTGCAGGAGGGTCTGGAGCCAAGTGTGGCCACAGGCACAGGAGGTGGACGGCAGCACCTTTGGATTGGAGGAAACAAGCTTGTCAGCAGTCAGCGGCCTCCAACGGCAGGGACATGAAGATCCAGCACCCTGCCCTACTGACAGCTTGGCAGGGGAGCTCACCTTGGAAATGCAGTCCTGTTCTACCTGCCACGGAGCAGCCTGTGCTTGAATAGGGGATCAAGGCTCACTTGGGTCAGCCTGAGAACCGCCATGCCACTCATGGGCTGAGGAGGTGTGAGCAGAGATCGAAGATCTGTACTGAGATCACAGTGTTGGGGCTCCAGATTTCAAGTGCCAGGTCAGCGGGACTTGAGAGGTTTACCAGTCTCTCCTTAAATCTAGTGATTTTAGGCCCTATACACACACCCTTTGCACTGTCGCCTTTTCAGAATAAACCAATTGGTTAATTTCAGAATTAACCAATCAGTTAATGCGTCAGGGCATCATTATTGCACTCATTTAAAGAAATACTATCCCCTTATACGGTATACGAATTAAAGGATTTCAGAGTCTCAGGACATAGTGCCATGAGGTCCATGGTAGCTCACATATCCTCAGAGTCTTGGCATGTTTTATGGTAGTGTTGCCTCTAGTTTACTATTTAGTACATTAGACAAAGTTTGCTGCCTCCTAATAAGCATATACTTTGCTTCCAACTCCTTGATGCAAGAGTATGGCAAGATACTCAAATTATAAAACTAGTGGAGATAGTATTTCATGGCATTAAATGTAGCTGAAGGACAGGCAAGGCAAGGCATGTGTGTGCTGTTTCTAATGCCGGTTTGTGTTTCCTCAGTTCCTGAACGCCCTCAGTCAACATGTCCTGCCAGCAGTACCAGCAGCAGTGCCAGCCGCCTCCCAAGTGCACCCCCAAGTACATGCCCAAGTGTCCTCAACAGTGCCAGACCCCGAAGTGCCCCCCCAAAGTGTCCCGCTAAATGTCACCCCAAATGCCCTCCAGTGTCTTCCTGCTGTAGTTCTGGGGGTGGGGGCTGCTGCAGTTCTGGAGTTGGAGGCTGCTGTCTGAGCCATTGCAGGTCCCAAAGTTCCCAGAGCTACAGACAGCAGAGCTCTGGCTGTTGCAACCAGCCCTCAGGGGGCTCCAGCTGCTGTGGAGGGGGCTCCAACTCCAGCTGCTGTGGAGGTGGGAGCAGCCAGTCCTCTGGAGGCTGCTGCTGAAGTGGACCCTGAGGCAAGAAGAGAGACTTGGAGTCAGCAAATGGCCAGATCCTACCTTCTCCACCCGCATCTGCCCATGGTGCTAATGCCCAGGCGGGAACCAAGGTCTGACTCTGAGGCTCCCTGTGCCCTGGTATGCAGGAGACAAAACCTCTTCCCCAAACCCATTCCCTGACTTACTTCTGTAAATGCTCCTATTGTGGTTGTTCTGGAACCCCCAAAGTGGGTCCCGCCACTCTTATCCTTTTGGATCCCCAATGTGAGCAATAAAACCAGAAATGTAACTTCAGCCTGCCTTGACACTTTGTATTCCTATTATCTCTTTCCTACTACACACTCAGCTCCCGCCTCCCCAGTACACAGTATCATCAGATACATAAGGCAGAGGTGTGCTGTCAAAGGGTTTACTGAACTCCTGCTGTGAATCTGTCACATAATAATGGGACAAGTGGGACTGAATTGCATTGTCCCAGAAAGGAGATGATTCTGTGTAAAGCATGGAGTGAGAGTGGGCAGACGTGTTTACAGGTACAGCCCACACACAGGCAAAGAGCAGAACAGAAATAGGGGGAGTCACTCTGGGTCCTGAAAGTCACTCAGATTCTTGGGTTGCCCAACACAAGTGGAGGCCTGGCTGAGGCTTCCTTCTTGGCCAGGGATCAGATTCAACACATGCACAACAGGATCTGCCAGGGCAGCTGGGACAGGGCGGACATTTAGTGGTTTCTGTGAGTCTCAGTTGAAAGCTAAACACCAGGCACACAGGGACTGGAAGAAAAATTCCAAGAAGGAGATATGAGGAAGGGAGAAGAGGTGACACTGATGATGGGCACGTGCGGGCTCCCTGGAAGGAGGCAGGTAGGAGCTGCCAGTCTCACCTGTTACAGCATCCACGTGCATGGCAGGAGGTGAGGTGGGGACTGGAGAAGGCCATTCTTACCTGCTGAGGTAAGTGCCCAAGACCAGGATAAAAGGGCCTCCTCAACATTTTCCACTATATGAATCAAGTTAAGCCTCTACCATGCCCACAAATCATTAATACCAAAGTAGTAACAAAGTCTTGCCCAAGGCTACACACTATAGGATACGTCCCACATCTGATGTGAGATACAAGTCCACCTGCTACCTCTGTTGTCACCCACTTTTAGAGAATCCTGAAGCTGATCAAGGCTGCGTGTGCACCTGATGGTGCCTGTGCCAGCGCTGCATGCCTGCCAGGGCTAGCATCCCTCGCCACCTGCCCTTTATCGTCACACGACTCCTCACCCAAATGAGATTAAAGTACTTCTTTGATGTCCTGGTGAGTCTTATATTTCTATAACCACATAACCTCATACCAGTACAGTTGTGCACAGTAGTTAAAGTGCACTTACTAGTGTGGCTTTATAGTTTACAAATAACTATTCCTTGTGACATAGAGTATCCTCATAGGAGACCACACTCTGAGATACACCCAATGAGGTATTTTGTCTGCATCACCCTGACATGTGACTCCTGCCCCTCCTGGGCAGAACATTTGATCCCCTCCTTAGGTTGTTCCAAAAGCTTAGTGTCAAGGAGTGTCAGGAACTGGACACACAGGCTCACACTGAGGGCCTCCCAGATCCCACCTCCTGCTCTAGGAAGATAGAGCTGAGGTGCCTTCTGGTCCAGGCCTCTCCCTGCATTCAGGGCAACACCCAAACTTAGATGCAGTGGGTGAGTCAGCAGCATCACTATATCCTGAAGCCCGGGGTTTAATCCTGACTATGAGATCTCATGACAGTATAAACTTTTGAGTAACAGACATTGGTTTTTCTATACGTTCCAATTTTTCTGTTGTCTCCCTCTTTTTTCAAGCAGAGTACCTCGGTACCAATCATAGCATCTAACTCTTCTGCCCTCTGCATCTTGGTATCAGAGTTGCCAATAAAAACACAAGACAAACACTATATAGAACAATATTCTACTTCTGTAGAGAAGAGACAGAACAAAATCAGTCTCAGTTTGGGGTGTTGGTCCTCCCAGTCCAGCAACCCCCACGGGGCAGTTGACATACACACCCCAGTCATGTGGCAGAGGAAGACCCTGCCCTCCTCCCTGAAGGACATATGTCTCTTAGCATAATGGTTCTAGTGATTCACTCATGCAACAATATTTATTGGGGCACATAAATACAGGTTGAAAATGAATACACCATTTTACAGAAAAGTTGCTTTGCCCTTAGCCAAGTGAGATAAAAATATAATAATAAGAGATAAATAAGAGATATTAGCTGTAACAGCTCAAAATAGGAGATTTCTGCACAGTTACAGTGTAAGAGATAAATACATAAAAATGTACTTTAACACCACAGAAAATACAACTTCAAGGAATGCTATTTAAAAATACTAACTGAATGTTTATTCTGGATTTTAAGAGTATTGCTTCATCATATATAATTGTTTAAAGAGTTTCTAGAAATTGAGAAAAGAAAAACAAAGATAATTGATTTTACCTGGATGGCTCTGAAGCACAGAAAAAAAAAAACAAAACATCAATCGGTTTGCATTATCCTAATGAGATCTCAAAAGTGTCTCCTCCTACCCATAGATGGTGAAGAGTTGACTGTGCGTAGAGTGGGGAAGGCAGTTGCATGTGTTCAGTCTTTCATTTGCTGCATAAAATGGGGCTTCCACAAGGAATGCTTCCTCAGCACAGGCTTAGCCGCCACCCAGCCTGTCCTGGGCTGATCACCCCTGTGGGACTATCTTCCTTGTTTCACACTCAGTCGGCACTCATTTGTGCCTGCCTAAGCAAGGCATCATATGGCTCCTGGCCAACCCATGGACATGCGTCCTGAGAGGAAGGGACAGGGGCTTCCACTGAACATGACAGGGGTGTGCAGGTGAACTATCCCTGCTGGAGAGGGAGGACCAACACCCTCCACTGCAGCTGGTTTTGTTTTGTCTCTTCTCTTCTTTAGTAGAATAATGTTCTGCCCAGTGTGTGATGGTCTTGTGTAAACTGGAGCAGACTTTGTTGGTGATTTGGCTAATGATTTGTGGGGATGGGAGAAGATTCACTTGCATGATATAGTGAGAAAATGTTGAGGAGGCCCTTTTATCCTGGCCTTGGGCTCCTACTCCGAAGAGTGAGACAAGCCTGCATGAGTCCCCACCTCACCTCCTGCCATGCACGTGGATGCTGTAACAGGTGAGACCGGCAGCTCCTACCTGCATCCTTCCAGGGAGCCCGCATGTGCTCATCATCAGTGTCACCGCTTCTCCCTTCCTCATATCTCCTTCTTGGAATTTTTCCTCCAGTCCCTGTGTGCCTGGTGTTCAGCTTTCAACTGAGACTCTAGAACCTCTAAACGTCTGCTCTGTCCCAGCCACCCTGGCAGATCCTGCATGCATGTATGTTTGCACATGTGTGTTTACACTGTCCCAGACCACACCTGGCACCCAAACCTGGTCCTGTGGGGACCAGGAGCTGTGGGGTCTTGTGGAAACCACCTAGTCTTTCTCATTCTATTTCCTCAAACAATATCAATACAAGTTATTCTCAAGGTGTCATGAAGGTCACAGAGTCATGGGAGGAAAATGCCTGGTAAAGATTCTGCAACTTGATGAGCACAATCAAACAGACTTATCCCTCCACCCATAAAAGGGGTGCATTCTTTTTAATCACAGCATTTTCCAGGAAAGGTGCATCTGATTTTCAAAAAGGCTTTTATTCAGCTGAGTCTTCTGTACATTTTTAGGAGATGATAAACCTGCAGAGGAGCTGGAGGGAACCAGCACTGCTTGTACAAGAGAAGGAGAACTTGATTTCTAGACTCTTACACATGGGAAGAGGGTGACCTTCCATGAAAAGCATAGAGCTGGGCAGAGGCCAAGAAGTTGCAAGCCTGGTACATTGGTGGGAGGAGGCCCTGTGTAAGGGACCCCAGGTCCTGCAGGTGGGAGAACCACACAGGGCAGGAGAGCCTGGGCTTCTCTAGGCACCTGCAGTGTTGCTGCTGCTCCTCATACACCAGGGCCCTGGAGGTGATGGGAAAGTAAGATGAAGACTGTCCTCAACTTGGTACACAGCAGGTGCTTCTTCTGTGTGTGGAGGGGGATATTATGAAAAGCAGGCTCCCAAAATTAATTAGCTGAAGGTAACTTAGAGCTACAGGTAATGATGAGAAAAAAATCCTCCCTGCAGAGAGTCCCAAATAATTTGTCAGACTCTGGAATGAGATATGATTGAGTCAATAGTGACTGTCACTTAGAACATCACAGCAAGGAAAACAATGTCTTAAGTGGTATGTGTGTGCACATGCGTGTGGTTTCTTAGATTGCTTATAATTAAAAGATTATGTGTGTAAAAATATATACATATAGAGAAAAAGGCAGAGACACATAATAGAAGCAGATATGCAAATATAGTTATAGATACAGATTTAGAAAGCACCTTGTTTATTGTTCTCAGCCTCAGATATGAAGGGCATGTTCCCTTCAACCCTTCCCGCCATCAATCGCTACCCTGGTCTAGAAGGAAGCCTCAGCCAGGCCTCTACTTGGTCAGGGCAACTCCAGCATCTGAGTGACTTTCAAGACCCAGAGTGACTCCCCCTATTTCTGTTCTGCTCTTTGCCTGTGTGTGGGCTGTACCTGTAAACACGTCTGCCCACTCTCACTCCATGCTTTATACAGAATCATCTCCTTTCTGGGACAATGCAATTCAGTCCCACTTGCCCCATTATTATGTGACAGATTCACAGCAGGAGTTCAGTAAACCCTTTGACAGCACACCTCTGCCTTATGTTTCTAAAGGTACTGTGTACTGGGGAGGCAGGAGCTGAGTGTGTAGTAGGAAAGAGATAATAGGAATACAAAGTGTCAAGGCAGGCTGAAGTTACATTTCTGGTTTTATTGCTCACAAAAGATTGGGGATCCAAAAGGATAAGAGTGGCGGGACCCACTTTGGGGGTTCCAGAACAACCACAATAGGAGCATTTACAGAAGTAAGTCAGGGAATGGGTTTGGGGAAGAGGTTTTGTCTCCTGCATACCAGGGCACAGGGAGCCTCAGAGTCAGACTTTGGTTCCCATGTGGGCATTGGCATCATGGGCAGAGGTGGATGGAGAAGGTAGGATCTGGCCATTTGCTGACTCCAAGTCTCTCTTCTTGCCTCAGGGTCCACTTCAGCAGCAGCCTCCAGAGGACTGGCTGCTCCCACCTCCACAGCAGCTGGAGCTGGAGCCCCCTCCACAGCAGCTGGAGCCCCCTCCACAACAGCTGGAGCCCCCTGAGGGCTGGTTGCAACTGCCAGAGCTCTGCTGTCTGTAGCTCTGGGAAGTTTGGGACCTGCAATGGCTTAAACAGCAGCCGCCACCCCCAGAGCTGCAGCAGCCACTACCCCCAGAACTGCAGCAGGAAGACACTGGAGGGCATTTGGGGGGACACTTAGGGGGACACTTTGGGGGGCACTTCGGGGTCTGGCACTGTTGAGGACACTTGGGCATGCACTTGGGGTTGCACTTGGGAGGCAGCTGGCACTGCTGCTGGTGCTGCTGGCAGGACATGTTGGCAGTTGGGGGTTCTGGAGCTGAGGAGAGGCAAACAGGAGTTAGAAACAGCACAGACACGCCTCGCCCTTCAGCTACATTTAATGCCATGAAATACTATCTCCACTAGTTTTATAATTTGAGTATCTTGCCATACTCTCCCATCAAAGATTTGGATGCAAAAACATATGCTTGTTAGGAGGCAGCAAACTTCATCTATTGTGTCAAGTAGTGAACTAGAGCAAACACTACTATAAAACATGCCAAGACTCTAAGGACATGTAAGCTACCATGGACCTGGTGCACTTTGTCCTGCAACTCTGAAATCCTCTAATTCATATACCATACAAGGGGATATTATTTATTTGAACAAGTGCAATTATCATGCCCTGATTCGCTAATTTCCAGATTGGTTTTATTCTGAAAAGACAACAGTGTGGGACTAAGTTCACTAGATTCAGGAAGAGACTGGTAATCCTCTCAAGTCCTCCTACCCTGCATCTGAGACCTGGAGCCCCAACACTGTGAACTAGTACAGACCTCAGCTCTCTGCTCCCAACTCCTCACCCCATTAGCAGCGTGCTGGTCCTCAGGTGCTCTGTGCTGTCAACATGGGACTTTGTCCCCCGTGGCTATGGGGGATAATGAGCCCAAGGGAGCCTGTGCTCCCCTAACCAGCTGGGTTGCTCCTTGACAGGTAGAACAGGACTGATTTCTGAGGTGAGCTCGTCCCCCAAGCTGTCAGTAGGGCAGGGTGCTGGAGTTCATGTCCCTGTCCTTGGAGGCTGCCCACTGCTGACCAGCTTGTTTCCTCCAATTCAAAGGTGCTGCCATCCACCTCCTCTGCCTGTGGCCACACTTGGCTCCAGACCCTCCTGCACTGGCCCTCAGGCTTCCTGGCCCCCTCCTCTGACACATTCACCTCCCACCCCAGCTCTGCCCAGCTCCCCCGCTCTGGGCTGAGCTCCCTCAGCAGCAGCCCTGCTCCCGTTCCCAGGACACTCACCAGGCGCAGGCACAGGTGCTTCAGCTCGGCAGGAGGGGAGTGGCGGAGATGCTCTGGCCAGGGCCCTTTTATCCTGGCCTTGGGCTCTGCTCCGAATGTGAGACAGGGCCTGGGCATGAGAGTCCCTGTCTCACCTCCACACTCAGCTGTTCTGACAGGTGATGACTGGCAGCCCCTCCCTCTTCCTCCATGGGGCTCGGGGAAGACTCTCCCAGGCTTGGGACTGAGTGGGAATATGACTGACATCACTTACACCTTGTTCTAATGGGGGACACCTCCCCTTGGGGCTCTACTTTCTTTAAGCCTTCGACCCAGCACTGCCTTTCTGCCTCTTCAGTGTTGATGGAACGATTCTGTGCCCAGCTTCCATCCTGCAATGTGGCTTCTTTGTCTGGGCTTCAGGTGACTCCTGCCACCACCCTTGTTTCCTGACATGCAGCCTTGGGTGCTTCTCAGTCCCACTCTCAACCAAGACAGTCTCCTCTCCTCCTTTCCACAAGGTGCCTTGGATCCCAGAGCCCGACTGAACTCTTAACTTCTAGGACTCACGTATATCTACTCTGTTGTGCCACTGCCCACAGGGTCTGGTGTTGGGCACATGCACAGTGGACATAGGGGAAGGGAAACCTGGCCTAGCACAGGTCCTACTATGTGGCATCTGACAAAGCTTTAACCTGCCTCATTTTCAATTTATCCAAGTGAATATTGGAATAAAGAAAATATTTGCAGGATTTTAGTGAAAGCCATGAGAGAAAACACCCAACAAGAAATCTGACTTCCTAGGGGCCTGTAATATGGTACAGTCTGAAAATAAAACTTCAAGCCTTGGCAAATGCAATGAGAGATGCTGTCCTGGGTCTTGAGCATAACTTCTGTTCCTAACAGGAGTGCGTCTGTCTGTCTGTCTTTCTGGCTATCTGTCTTTGGACAACTCTTTCCTTTTGGGAGGACCTCGATGTTGCCTGTGTAGATGGTGGAGCCAGTGTGGAAGGACCAGGACCCCTGCACTACTCCCTGTGGAGGAGGGGGGCAGCATTTTAATGAGTCCTGTTGGGAAGAGGGGAGCAGGGAGGGAGCACAGCAGGGTAGAGTCATCCTGAGTCCCATGTTCCCTGGTCACAGATGACTAACTAAGGGACCTGGGCCCCCAGGCAGGAGGCTCTAAGAACAGGAGTGTCAGTGTTTCCTATGACTGTGCTTCTGCTGCCCCCTCCCAAGCCCCTTTGATCACACCCGTGCGGGGCTTATTCCTTCTCCATGTGTCCAGGTGTGCATAGGGAAGCAGTTATGAACTCCTGCATTTTATTTATTTAATTATTTTATTTTATATAATTCTTACATCTTTTTTCATCTTTGCACAATGTATGCATTTTCATTTTGGTTATATTCCCCATACAATTGCACCTCCCCCTTGTTTTGACCCTAATCCTTCCCCCACCTGCCCCCTCCACCATAGTGTGTCTCTGGTTTATAGTTGCTTGTTGATTTTGATTTTTACTTTGTATTAATTAGTCTTTTTCCTGGTCCCTTATTTAGGTTTTCTAAATTCCTGCTATGAGTGAGACCATCTGGTATTTTTCTTTTTCTTTCTGACTTATTTCGCTGAGCATGATCCCTTCCAGTGCCATCCATGTTGCTGCAAACTGCATGTGTTTATCTTTTTGGAATGCTGAGTAATATTCCATGGTGTATATGAACCACATCTTCTTGATCCAGTCATCTATTTGTGGGCATTTGGGTTGTTTCCAAAGCTTAGCTATTGTAAACAGTGCTGCTATAAACATAGGGGTGCAGGTGTTCTTTGGAACTGATGTTTCTGTGTCCTTTGGGTAAATACCTAGGAGTGGAATTGCTGGGTCATACGGAAGCTCTATGTTTAGTAGGTCCAGAAATCTCCACACAGCTCTCCGTAGTGGTTGGACCAGTTTGCGTTCCCACCAGCAGTGCAGGAGAATGAACTCCGGCATTTTAAGGAAATCAGTACAAAGAACGGGGTTCGTTGTGGACAAGGTGGCCCTGGAGACAGACATGACTATCAGATGATCCCAACCTGACCTAATGCATCAGTTACATCAGACTAAAGCCACGTGAAGCCCAGGAGGAAATCCTTTGCTCTGCGGGACTTGGTTGTGTTCAGACTGGGCGATAATATGCAGGTCACCCTGGGCTGAGTGAACCAACTCTTAGAGAATACTCCTATGCTCAGAGGAGCTAAGTGTTGAGAGAGATAAATTTATGTTTTATGCTGCCAAATACATTCTATTTGCACTATGTTGTCGACCATCAATTATTTCCTTGCCCCCAATTCCTCCTCTATGGATCCAGGAAAGTCTCCAGCAACCTCAGCTACAATTAGCCTAAATCACTAACTTCATCTTGCGCTGGATGTGTGGCTACTACAGGAGCATCCAGAGCCCCCCGACTGCATCTGGATCTGTGGAATCTGAGTTGTCTTGACCTGTGCTTGAGCCTCATCCACCTGCCTTAGAAAAGTCTCATGTGGCGGTGGATGATCTGAGGCTGCTCTGCCTACCTGGACCCTGACTCCCAGGCTGCACAGCTCCACCCACCTGTCCTTCTGTCCTTAGGGGACACAGCTGTGATGGTATGACAAGGGCTTGACAGCTTGTCTCATATTTCTTTGCCTCACAGGCTCAAGGCTAGCTTGTCCTGGATGGATGCGAATGAGCTGTCATCACCTCCTTAGCATCCCATTCACTGCCCGGTTTCCAAATAGCCTTTCCACGGTTGAGGTCATCCTCAGGGAGATCCCGTGCAGAAGGAATCAGCAGGCATCCCCTCCCTGTGCAGAAAGGTCAGCCCCACCTGACCTGCATGACCTTGGCTAGGATGTTAGTATAGGGCGTCAGGACCTAGATTCCTGGGCCCACACTGCAGGCCTCCCAGCTCCCAGCTCCTGCTCCAGGACAATATTGCTGAAGTGCTTTCTGGTCCAGGCCTCTGCCTACAACAGGACCACACCCAACAGTCATGGACCTGGCTGGGCTGGCTAGTGACTCAGCGCCATTCTGTATCCTGAAGCCGAATATAACCCTGGCTCTCAGACCCCAGCTGATATGCTGCCAGGTCAGTGTAAAGGTTCCCTGGTTGTCTGTGGCCTGGTGACATCTGTTGTGATCTGGTCATTTGAAGGGAACAGCCACCTGCCTCAGCCTTGGGGTTTTGCCCCCACGCAGGGCATAGTCTCCTGCCACCCACTTATAGGGAAGCTTAGGGCTCTCCAAGACCTCCTGGCAGGGTGTCCCCTCTGTGCCCGGCTCCACTTCCCTCATGTCTGTGGTTGCTTTCAAATGCCTTCTTTCCCTTAGAATCTTCCCCCTTCTAGAAGTTTTAACTGTTTGTTCCTCTGTCCTTAATCTCCTGCCCTCAGGGGCCCTCCTGTCTTGAGTCCCTTTTTGTTCTGTTGCTGGGGTGACAGGTCTTCTTACTGCAGCTCAAACTGCTAGCAAGCTGGGCCTCTTCATTCCACCCCAGTCAGTGCAACACAGACCAGCCCTCGGACTCCCAAGCAGCCAGAGTGTATGTACAAGCAGTTATGTCCCTGTGTCCTGAGGGACCCCCAGGAATTGGGTGCCTCCTCCTGACCATGGGGGTCCTGCTGAAGAGGGAAGGGCAGGGCAATAGCAGCACCCACACATTCCCTCTACATGGAGGCTTCTCATGTGCTGGACCAACCTTGTTGCTTAGCATATTATTTGCTTTCTTGAGTTCTCCTGAAGTTACCTTTGCCCACACCTTGTTTATTCATTAT